CTGGAGGGGCCAAGACCACAAGGAGGGGAAGAGTGGTGTGCCTTAGTCTTATCAGCTGAGACCATACCCCCTCTGCCACAGGCTTGCTTTCACCACCAGTGCCTACATCCGAGTAACTGTATATCTGTCCATTCACCCATTCCACCTATCCATCCTTTCATCTAATCACCCATCCATCCATTCACCCACCCACCCACTCACTCATCCACCCATCTGTCCACTCATCCACCCACCTACTCATCCATCCACCCATTCACTCACCCACCCTCCCATTCACCCACACACTCTTCCACCCACCCATTCACTCAGCCAGCCTGCCAGTCACCCATGCATTCACCCACATACCTATCCATCTATCCTCCCTTCTATTTGTTCGCCAATCTACCTTCTAACACATCCATTCATTCATCTGCCCTCCTACCCGTTCTCCTTATCCATCTACCCACCCTTCGTAGATAGTCATCTACCCATCTTTCCTCCCTTCTTCCCTTCCATATTTTCTTCTTTCCATCAATTCATACCATCCACCCACCCATCCATCCACCCACCCACCCATCCACCCACACATCCATCCATTCACCCACCCACCCATCCATCCATCCACCCACCCACCCATCCACCATCCACCCACCCACCCACCCATCCATCCACCCACCCACCCACCCATCCACCCATCCATCCATCAGTCCATTAGCTAATTATCCCCTTCCATCTGTTAGTTCATCTGCCCTTCCATCAATCCATCCTCCCTTTCTCCCACACTTCCCTGTGTCATTTCTCTGTCCTCCTCTCTGTCAATCAATTCCATTGCCATTCATTCTGCGGGAAGCAAGCCACCTGAGTACAGGGCTGCCCTGGCTGAAGCCATTCTCATTTGCAGAGAAACAGAGGTGCAGAGAGCTGGTGTGCACTGTCCCAAGAAGCACAGCTTTCAAGGGAAGGACCAGGGCTCCTCGGCTACTGTAATGCCCACTGTCCCCACACAAGGGCTGCCAGTGCTGGGATGACCATCGCTGACCTGAGGCAGCCATGCCTGCATTGCCTATGCAGTGAGCATTTCCTGTGCTCCAGGGCTGGAGCCCCAGAGCTCTCTGTGATGTGGCAACTGATCTGGGGTCTCCTGTTGGTCACAATAGACCTCACCAGAGCTGACTCTTCAGCAGCTCCGGGTCCCCAGCCCTCGGGTAGAACCTCCTTACCACTTTGGCAACTCTTGGCACCCAGGCAGTTTCTTTCAGGGTGTTTAAAGAAGTGCTTCTGTCTAGGGTAGTCACACAATTAAAGAAAAATTAGCCATGTCCTTCCTTAACCACACTGATTGGTGCTTGTCGGTTTGTTCTCCACCCGTGGAGGACAGAATCCATTCAGTCAGTGATAACGTCCTAGCCAAGTGCTGAGCCTGTTGAAAATAGAAGCCTAGGCCTGCCTGTCTCTCCACCCTGCCCCAGCTCCCACAAAGCCCTCAGCTATGGCAACATTATATCGCACCATTCTTTATGCTATAGTTAAAGGAAGACCTTCTTACTGATTTAATTTGAAAATTTGTATGCTGGTGGGTTATAGTTGACTTTATTTCAGGAGACCAAGGGGTGTCACAAATGACAGTCACATGCAACTGTCGGTAGATTTGAAAATTCCTCCAGCTGGATAGGCTGAGAGGAACTTTGACTCCTGACTGCTTTGCATCTAAGAACTACATTGTGACTGCTTTGCATCTAAGAACTACATTGTGATGGTTCAAAAGGAACCCCAGAGCCTGCTGTCTGCGTGGCCGTGGGCATTGGTCAAGCTGGTTGTAACGACAGGTGTTCTTGTGTCCTGGTCAGCAGGAGCTGGGCTGCATGTGGTGTTCAAGGTGGATAAAGATTGTCATCTCACCCGCCACCATCTCAGGACCACACAGGGGAAGAGAGCCTTGAAGGGCCTCTGGTTATTATTTGGCTAGAAGGAGTCACATGACCTAAGATGCCTGCGAACGATGTCAGGAAGCCCTGATGACAACCCGCTCTCAAATATATTGTACCTGTGTTCCCCAAGTGCCCAATAAATGGTACAGCCTGGAGCTCTGGTCTTGGAACTTCCTTCTGGTAGAGACTTCTCTCTCTTAAAGGCAGTCAACACATGCTTTCAGAGGACCCACTATGGGTTAAGCATATCCAGAAGATGTAGCGGTTGCGAAGCCATGGCTCCCTCCCCTGCACTGGGCCCATCATCCACACAAGGGTCACACCACAGCAGAGAGCTTTGAGAACCTGTGTACCTGTCCGTTGTCAGCTGCACCCAGATGGGGCGTGTGTAAGTTAATTCCCACCGAGTCCCCTGTAGGCTCTGTGAAATCAATAGGTGATGCTGGAGCGAGTGGCTGAATACGGAGACAGGCTCAGGCCACTGGCAGCCCTGTCCCAGCACGCCCTCTTTTGCACGACGGGCTGAAAAATGACAGAACATAGAAGGCTCTGCAACCAGTGCTTGATCCGAGTGTAACAGCGGTGGATGCCTTTCCAGAAGGAGTGGGGCCACCACAGCTGCCAGGCTGGCACAGCTCCAAAACAGCCATGCACTAGGTACCAACCCCGCCCCACCCCCTTTGAAGAAGGAAACCATGGCTGCGGGAAAGGGAGGAGAGGACTGTGGAGCTGCCCAAGGTTTCTGAAATGTTTTCCACCCATGACTCCTTTCACCCGAGAACTTTTTTGTGTGATGGATGAAGACTGGTCTAAAGGTACATAAATAGACAAATATTCCTGATGAGGAATCATAAAGAAACTTAACACAATACTTTCTATGCACGTAAATTTGAGATTTATTATAAATAAAAGCCGATTTGCATACTCATGGGGTGATGTATTTGTCTATTTTTGTGTTATTTATTTTTTGTTTGTTTTTACATCCCAAAGTTTCCCCTCCCTCCTCTCTTCCCAGTTCCTCTCCCACCTTCTCCCTCCTCTCTCCCCACATCCATTCCTCCTCCACTGTTTCTCTTCAGATGTAGGCAGGTTTCCCATGAATATCAGCCCTCTATAGTGTATCAGGTTGTGTTTCTCTTTTGTTTTGTTTTCGAGACAGGGTTTCTCTGTGTGGCCTTAGTTGTCCTAGAAGTTACTCTCTAGACCAGGCTGGCCTCGAACTCACAGAGATCTGCCTGTCTCTGCCTCCCCAGTGCTGGGATTAAAAGTGTGCATCACCACCGCCCTGGCCACGCTTGTCATTTTTACATAGATGTTCTAGTGTGCTCTTGTGCCTCTGTGATAAAGCCCTCAGACCTAAGGAAGGGAAGCGTCTATCTCGTCTTGTCCTTTCAGGCCACAGTCCTTTACTGAGTAAGTTAGGCGAGGAATTCAAAGCAGAACCCACCCGTGGAGGACTGGCGCATGTTGGCTTGTTCTCCACACCTGGAGGACTGATGCTTACTGGCTTGCTCTCCACCCGTGGAGGGCTGGCTGGTGCTTACTGGCTTGCCCTCTGACTTTTTCAGCTGCCTTTCTTACACAGTTCAGGCCTACTTGCCTGGGGCGCCACCGCAGTGGGCTGCATCCTCCTGCATCGATTAGCAGTCAAGATGGTGCCCCACAGACGTGGCTGCAGGCCATCCTGATGGAGGCGGTTCTTCATTTGTAGTTCCCTCTTCTCAGGTGAGGGACATAGTGAAGGCACAGTGGTCCTCAGCCTTCCCAGTGCTGCCACTCTTTAACGCAGTTCCTCACGTTGTGGTGACCCCCAACCATAAAATTATTTTACTTGCTACATCGTAACTGTAATTTTGCTACTGATGAAAACTGTAATGTAAGTATCTTTGGAGACAGAGGCTTGCCAAAGGGGTCATGACCCACAGGTTGGGAGCCACTGCTCTAGGTTGTGCGGAATTGACAATGGGCAATCCACCAGTAGCCACACAATTAAATTAAATTAGCCATCAAATGCCACTATTTCCTCAGCTAAGGGCAGTGCTTCCTATGTCCCTCCCCTAAGCACACTTATCTTGTGTAGGTAACCGCAGCTGCTGTGGGCTCATGTGTACAGTAGCCATGCCATGTCCACAGCATGGCATTCTGCAGCTCCTCCCCGTCCCCAGTGTTTCCTGAGTCTTGAGTGGGGTAAACACAGATGCCCCTTTAGGCCTGAGCCCTCAGTCACTTAGCACACTGACCAGCTCTGTGTCTCTGCATCGACTTCTGCTCACTATAGGAAGCAGCTTCTTTGAGGTTGAGCACTCAGGTCTGTGGGTATGAATAAATCTCGGCAGTTTGACTGTGCCCACTTACCAAAACAACAGTAGTAAGTCCCCACTAGGGCCTGGGACTCCCCAGCCTGACCTCCTTCTGTGGAGCAGACCTCGAACTCAGTTGAGAGCAGGTTATCCCATAACTGGCATGCCGTAGACCCTGGCAGATTGTGCTGTGGTGTGAAGGCTCTGGTCACTTTCCCCTGCAGCGGCCTGGATGGCACCTTTGACACACCAGCAGGGATAGAGTTTTCCAGTGAGCTCCAACTTGGTTTCTCCATTGCAACCAAAACAAATATGCTTTTAAAGACAGAGTCTTAGGTAGCCCAGACTGGCCTCAGACTCGCTCTGTAGCTGAGGATGACCTTGAATTTCTGATCGTCCTCTCTCTACCTTTCCATAACTGGGATTACAGGTGTGTATTCCTGTTGTTGGTGCTGCGGATCCAACTCAAGGCTCAAGTGTATGTAGGCAAGTGTAGGTCCCCAAGCCCCACTGTGCTCTTAGCATGCGGAGGAGCTGGAGAGTAGGGTCCTGGACAACGGAGAGGACGGCAGTTATGAATGACCCTAGAGACAGTTTCAGAGGATAGCTCACTTATTAACATGGTGGGGCTAGCTTAAATGGGGGGAGGGGAGGGAAGAGGCCAAGGAGGAAGCGCTGCAGTGGGGGCAGGGACTCTCCAAGCCATCTGTCAGATTAGCAGACCATTCACATGATTTCGGAGAAGCCACTTCCCTGGGGAGGTACAGAATCTTGACTGACTTCAGCATGATTCTGTAGGGTTGAGTAGGCCCAAGCCTGATTTGGGTAGAGAGCAGTCCCACTCCTGCCATGCTCTCTGAGAGATGTTTGGGGTATGGGCAATGCTCTACCACCCCCATCTGACTTGGGAACCCACAGGCAACTCTGCCAACTGAGCCCTATTCCATCACCAGCCACATGTTGGTTCCCACAGTGGCTATACCTTTTGCATGCCAATTGCTTGGTGCTTTCAAGTGGTCTACTTTGTAATGCTTGGTCTGTGTCAGGCTCCAGGCTTTGAAGATGTGAGAGACAGCATGATCATCTACAGGTGGGAAATGCATGAGCAACAGAGTGTTGGCACAAGTGAGAAACAGCATGGGCAAGGGGCTGAGACACACAAGTATGTGTATGTGATATGCATGCATGTATATGTGTATTATGTGTGTGTGTGATGTGCATATGTGTGTATGTGGACATGTGTGGTGTTATGTGCATATGTGTGTACTGTGTGGTGTGTGTGTGTGTGTGTGTGCATCTGTGCTGTTGAGAGGATGGAAAATGGATGAGAGAGAGAATCTGCTATCCTGGCCTCAGCACATCCCCTCTCTTACTCGACCTTGGGTACGCACTCTAGAGAACGTGAGCCCAGGGTAGTGATGCCAGCAGTGCAGTTCTGAGAGGGTTTCCCACACCAGGACCCAGGTTCTTAGGTACATCCAATTAAGGCTGGTAGGTGTGGCAGCCAGCATCCCTAGGAAGTTCAGTCTCCTCAGCCAGCCTCCAGGCCGCCTTGTCCCTCAGAACAGGAACTCAAGCAGGGCAGCATCCTGGAGGCAGGAAGTGATGCAGAGGCCATGGAGGGGAGCTCAGTCTGCCTTCTTGTAGAACCCAGAAACACCAGCTCAGGGATGGCACTACCCATAATGGGTTGGGCGCTCCCACATCAATCACTAAGAAAATGTACGACAGCTGGATCTTATAGAGGCATTTTCTCAGTTGAGGTTCCCTCCTTTCAGATGACTCTAACTTGTACCAAGTTGACATTAAACTATCCAAGACAGTGTATGGGTGGGTGCCCCCCTGGATGGGTAGGTGGATTGGCATCGAGTATGTGGGTGGGCGGGCAGATGGATGAAGGCTGGCCTCTTCCTGAAGTCCCTCTTTGCTCGCATCCCCCAAGATCACTGAGGAGGCCCCTGACTGCTGTGCCCCAGGGCCTGGTGACCGAAACCCATGAACCTGGCATGGCCCCGTCCTGGCAGCGGGATGGCTGATGCATGCAAAGTGGGCACACACTGGCGCAGCCGAATCTGAAAGCTAATGACATTATTGTGTGGAGACACAATGTCTGTGGGCATTTGCTGACCCGGCTTTGGCATCGGCTTAGCCTGCATTCTCACCCTGCTTTCCACAGGGATGAAGCAGTCACCCATCTTGGCAGCAGCTCCCCTGGGGAAGGTATAAATACCACCACCCACCGTCTGGGCTTCACGGCACTCGTGGGGCTGGCGATCTGGTAAGAAGGGCCTGCTGCTTACTCTGCCCTTTGCTCTTCTTTCCCTCTTGTTGGAAATCGTGGTGCAGAGACCAGCACCTGGCCTCGGTTTTCCCTTCTGTTAAGTGGGGAGAGGGGTGGTCTAAGCCCCTCCTCCATGGGCTAGGAAACAGCATAGTAGACTAACCTGGTGTACAACCTTCCTTCTGCTGGAGATTGGGAAGGAAAGTGCTCCTGGCTCGTGAACCAGAGGTGGTCCTACTGTGGCCATGTCTAGGTTGTTGAACCAGCTTTCTTGTGTCTAGTCATTGTGGCTCAAGCCTTGGGGAAACCTTGTGGGCTGGCCTCAGCTGCACCTGCTTCTGGGCACTATGGCTTCAGTGTCACTAAATCCCACTGGAAATGGCCCTAATCATGCCACCCTGGCTGTCCCCTCCTGGGTGCAGAGAGCATTCCAGGGCCCTGTCAGATGCACACAGTTGTATGGAGTCCTAGTTCACAGAGAGGGTGAGGTACCTCTGTTGTTTGCCTGGTGTGGAGAGTAGGAAACTGAGGCATGGGTGGGACTTATGGGCGGCCGTTCAGCTGCTGGGAGGCAAAGCAAGCACTTGGATTGGCTCAGCTGAGTTCAGCACCTAAGGGTAGACAATCTGGTGAGCTGGAAGTGGACACGGGAGCCTTCCAGCGTGACTCCAAAGAGGAGGAGCCATGGGGGAGGATTCTTCCGAAAGGGGGATTATTCCACCTAGAGTGGGGCTGGATCATAGTGAAGGGGAGGCCAGAGGCCAGGTGACTGCTTCTGGAACAATCTGGAGCCAGGCAAAAGAGAAGTAGACCGGAGTTGGCCCACACTCCTATGGTAGCCTGACGTTGAGGACCAGCAAGGTCCTCATGTGTCTTCCGCATTTCTTCCAGGTCACCTCGACACCAGAGAGTCCACCATGGCTTCAGATCACCAGACACAGGCGGGCAAGCCCCAGCCCCTCAACCCCAAGGTGGGTACCCTGCTGGAGGGAGGGGCCCTCTGTACCCTGACCCTCAGGAGACTCAGTCTCCCCCAGCTGAACACTCCCTGGGGCTGATTCCCTATGCCCCTCTGCACCTGAGTGCTCAGTACCAGCTTCAGATTTTAGAGAGTTAAGTTTCCCTGCCTATCTGCTGCCCAGCATGCTCTTACCCATAGGCGACCCAAGATGGGGCAGAGACTCAGTGCCAGTTAGAGAGGATTCCCAGCCCCACTCCTGCTGTGCGGCCCATGCCAGTGACTAGGCACAATGGGGAATGTGTAGAGCACAATGGTTCTGTTCTTCACAGAACAACTGTGCAGGCCCAGAAACCAGGCTCAGCCTCTACCTGTGCCCCCTGCCCTGTCTGTGCCTGCTCAGACGGTCTGCTTCACTTTCTGACTCCCACACTCCGGAGGCGGGGAAAGCTTATTCCAGCCTCTCAGAGGCTGGTCACACCCAGTCTGGCCCAGCCCCACCTCCTCATTCCATCTTCTTGAACTTCACTTTCCCTGAGTGACAGTCGGCAAGCTGTCTTGAGGTGGACTGTCCTCAAGGAAGGAAAAGTACCAAACACTGAGTTGGTTAGAGCCGGGGTTCACAGCAACTGATGCGTCAGCTTGGTGCTTAAGGGGGGCCCTCCTGGGGGTCAAGTGAGGGAGCAACCATGTGAAAACGGGGCAGGGAATGGTGAGGGCGCGGGGCAGTGGGATCAGCATGGGCAAAGGCCCTGAGCTCGCCAATGGGTTGGTTGAGTTTGATAAAAATGACGTGGCTGGCTGCAGGACTCAAATCTTCAGAACTATGATGTGACACACACACATTGTGATGTCACACATGCACTGTGATGTCATAATACACTGCGTCATCACATACATATACAGGGATGTCACCCATGTTTTATGATGTCACAGATACACAGCGACATCACATGTATATTGCGAATCACACATGTAATTAAGATCTTCTAACAGTCACAGTAGAAACTGTCCAAAGCAACAGGTGATTAATCTTCTTAGTCTCCTTTGATAAACAGTTCACTCCTACTCTGGCTGTCTTCAGATCCGTGTTTCCTCTGAACAGCACATGTTAGCACTGACTGCATGTCCCGAGTCATGCAGCTGGTGGCTTCGGCACTGGGTAATGCTTGGCGAAGGGTCGATCAGTGTGGGGAAGGATCTAGACTCCATATTAACAACAGCTTTGTTGTTGTTGTTGTTGTTGTTGTTGTTGTTGTTGTAACTGTCTTCTCCACATCAGCAGCAGGGCACAGCACTCTTGGGACCCAGGGCTTCTCAAGTGTACAAGGAGCCTGACCCTCCCCCACTGGCCTTTATAGCCCAGGCCAGGTAATAACTACTGAGCCGCCTTCCACCGCTGACTTCCATATTCTAGAATCTTCTCAATGCCTGCAGACAGGTTTCTTGGCCTGCCGAGCAGAGAACTGGAAAGCCCTCCTCCTTGGACTACACAGAGCAGGGGAACCAAAGTCTGCTGCTGCGTCTGGGGGGGTCAGTGACCACGAAGGCTGAACTGAGCCCATGGAATCTGCCCATGAGCCCTCCCGGCCACTGCTTTTGCTCCCTTTATCCCGCTAATCCTCAGCCTGGGAAACACAAGTGCTTTCTCCAGCCAGTGCTGACTCCTAGACCCTGCACCACCCCTCACCCCTCTCCTGTCCACTTCTTCATCCAGAGATGGCTGCAAGTGTCTGCCTCTGGGGGACAGAGCTGAGTGGTTGGAAAGGGTCCCTGTTCTCAGTTGTGAATGTTCTCCATGTTTAGCTCATGACTGCGAGACTTTGAGTGGCTTCCTTCACTCTGCAAATCTCAGGATCCTTATTGGGATTCCTGTCAGGCCCCTGCCTAGGGCTGATGGGGAAACAGGAGGAGGCGAGGGGGAGGATTTCTAGTAGCAGCCATCTCATATGGGAGGCCATGGGGAGACCTGGAAGCCTCCAGGGGTAGAGGCTTGGGGAAAGGGGCCCAGGAATGTGTGTGGTGTCAGCAGAGGGGCACCTCCTGGGAGCTGAGTGGCATATGGAATATGGGGTACAGAGCCCTAGAACCAGTGTCATGAGCCTCCCTTGTGTCAAGATCCCAGGTTGATTCTCACGTTCAGTCTGCATACTGCCCACTACTTTCTGCTGCATCACACAAGTCCGGGCCGTGTATCCAGCCCTGATCCATAGCAGCTGCCCTGGTTGATGCTCTATGGGAAGCCGGGGTATTGCTTAGGGGGAGAGCAGCTGCTGGATGTGTGGAGTGGTCCTGGTTTCATCTCTAGCACTCCACGGACACAAATGAGAGAACACCGTGATGTCTCTCATGACTGAGTGGGCCCTTGTGCCTGCCGTTCTGACTGCTTCCTTGCCTCTGGTTTGTTCTGCCACCCACCTTATTGTCAGGGAGACTGAGGCTCAGAGAGCAGCGCCTTCAGGCTCCAAGTCTCTGGCCCTCACTTATGCTCTATGGCTGTTGTGACCCAGAGGGGTGGAGGCCTGCAGTCCCAGGGCTCTCTCTCTGAGCTGGCTTCTCATCTCCTGTTCTCCCCCACTTTCCCGTTCCTTCCAGATCATCATCTTTGAACAGGAGAACTTCCAGGGTCACTCCCATGAGCTCAGCGGGCCCTGTCCCAACCTAAAGGAGACTGGTATGGAGAAAGCAGGCTCCATCCTGGTGCAGGCTGGACCGTGAGTATCTGGGTGCTCTTACCTAGCCCGGAACTGCCAGCCTGGTAATTGGGATGTTGAATTGGGGGTATCTGACCTTTCTGTACTCCTAGCTTGTGTGTGATGGAGGCAAGATTTGGGGTTTGGCATCCCAGAGGGAGTTTGTGCTTAGGAAGCTGGGTTCAAACCCCCGTTAGGAAACTTCTAGGCTGTAATGTGTCTGACCATGGACTTCCCTCTCTGATACTCGGTCTCCTTTGTGTAGTGGACACCTTTGCCTGTCTCTGCTCAAGAGAAAAGGGATGTAATTATGGGGACTCATCTCCCCTCACCATCCAGCGAGGTGCACGAGGGCCATGTGTCTCTCATCTCCTCAGCCCTCCTTTGTAAATGTCTTGTGAGTTCTCAGGGTACAGGAGTCCTGTATCTGCCAGGTGCCGGGCGTGATGTCTGTGTCTAATGGCCCTGCATAGGCACAGTTGTTAGCATGTGCAGGAGCCGGGCTCTGCCTCTCTGGAACACGGGCCTCCACCATTTTGAGCACGTCTGACCTCATCTCCTTTTGCCATTTTGATGGGAGAATTTCTCAAACATATTTTTAATATTGAAAGTAAGTTTTAGCGTGTTTGATTACTTGTGTGTGTTGGGGGGGGGGTAGTGACTGAGGGTGGAACCCAGGGCTTCACCTATGCAAGGCAGCCACTGAGTGCCTTCCCTACAAAGCTGTTTTATATACATCAACACTCTCAGAATTTGTCTTGATTTTAAAAGCTAACTTTTAAAATTGTTTTCTGGGTTTGTTTTGGTTTGGTTTTTTTGAGGGTCTCACTACTTAGTTCAGGTGGGTTTTGAACTCCCTGGTGATGGAATTCTAGGAAGAAAATTAATTCTTCCTTATTGCTTAAAATCCGTGCCCAATATTAGGAAGGAATAACTCAGCAAAGAGTTGTGATTCCCTCCACTCAGTTTTTACTTCAGCTTACCCTTCAGAAATATTCATCATTAAGATTTTGGTATAAATGTAGATTTTTTTTCCTATGTATGTATTTGTGAGTTTTTTGAAAAAGAGTCCATTGAGATGGTAATCGTGCGGTGTCTGTGGAATGCACAGAGGCAGCAGTGCCTCCCCTGTCAGAAGTCACCCTTCATGGTGGTGGGCAGCAGTCTGAGGTCCCCGTGCATCAAACCACAGGAGACTTTAGGTGTGGACTCGGGCTCCACAGCGACTCCTGGGCTTAGAGCTCAGAAAGCCACCTCAAGCTAAATCCTGGTCGTATTTATGTCCAGCTGAGTTTGTGAACCCAAACTGTCTGTCGTTGTGTATGGTGGCTTTGTACGGGTTCCCTAATTTATCCACCCTCCAGGCTGCTGGGTGTTGTAAAGATCACCATGATGAATAGCTTTGTTCAGCGTGCCTGAGCTCTAACTGTTGTTCTTAAGGACACAGCACCTAAAGCGGCTCACGGGATCCGCTGCTGTCAGTCATCCTTTAAGTGCGTGAGACAGACAGTTGCCTCCCTCACCGAGGACTTAGGTCTGAATGGCCACCACTGTCACACTGGAGGAGAGTGTCTCTTTCTGCCCTGGAGAGCCCTGGAAACTTCGCATTTGAGGTCCCCACTTCCTCTTCCCTACTTCTCCTTCGTCTATGGGCCATGCCCTCCCAAGAGAGTGCTGTGGATTACAGGGAACCCTGTCGCATCCACAGGTGTCACGCAGCAAAGAGTATCTGGGGGGAAATTCCCATCTGCTCCCAGCAAGCCTGCGCTCAGTCTTCTGTGCCCTGAAGTGGGAGACAGGAGTCCTCATACAGTGCCTGCAAGGCATCTGGTGTCCCAGGTCCCCTGCAGGTGATTTAGGGTGCACAGGAGGTTGTGGCCATTGTAGAGATGCAACTCGAGCCTCTTTAGATTGCAGTCCAGGTTTTCACCAGCACAGAGTGGTCACTGGACATTTCTGTACCATGAATCTAGAAGTTAGAATCCTGTGTAAAGGCAAGTAGAGAGACAGCAGGGAGAATTGAGTCTGAAACTTGCTGTGGATGAAGCTGTGACCTGCATGACCTTGAGTCCCAGAGCTGTGCTCAGTGGCCAGCTGATGGTGCTCCCCACTCTCCATGCCTGGCTGAGGTCACACTGTCTACTTGTAGCCTCTAGACTGAGGCATGCACACTATGGACACCGGCCAGCAGCACTAGATAGATAGGGTCGTGGGACTCTTGTTCTACACTCAAAACTGGTTATTACTTTCCCAGCGTCCTCTTGGCCTTAGGGCACTGGGTGTATGCAGTGTGATCTGTGGCCAAGCTGTCCTTCAGACTTAGTTCTCCCATGTGCTGCAGGAGGTCAAGGGCAGTGGGGTCTGGATAACCGAGGTCCCCTTGTGCTTAGCTTCTCTGTATTTGGGTTTAGGTGGGGCCAGTGCAGAGGAGCTGAGTGCCAGGGCCCTGCCAGCCACGGAATGCCCAGTGAAAGACCCTTTCTTGTGTCTTGCAGTTGGGTGGGCTATGAGCAGGCCAATTGCAAGGGCGAGCAGTTTGTGTTTGAAAAGGGCGAATACCCACGCTGGGACTCTTGGACCAGCAGCCGGAGGACAGACTCCCTGAGCTCTCTGAGGCCCATCAAAGTGGTAAGCCCTTCCTGCCTTTCTTACACCTGCACTGGAGCCAGAGGGGCGGGGTTCGGGAGACTCTCCGCCCACACATACTCTGACCAAGGAGCTCCTTTGTGGGGTGTGAGCAAAGGCATTTGGCCTCCTTGAACCTCTGTTTGATCTGCGATTAGGACTTCAGTTCTTGCTACCAGAGACTCCCTCGTTCCTAGCACAATTCCAGGGGATGCCATTCCCAGGACAACTCCTGTGGGCCGTGTCCCTTAGGGCCAGGCTCAGTTAGCAATCATGAGTATTAAAGAAATCCTGGGTTTTGGGGAAGGGGAAGGTACTTCAGTCAATGTGACCCTGATTCTTACTAGCACGTGGACTTTTGGGTAGGAAAAGGACCCAGCAATGCTCACTTATGTGCCCAAACCTTCCAAAACCAGATTTGTACCTCCCGGAGCTCTGTAGAAGACCGGGTCTCCCCAAGACCTGAGCTCTTACGTTGACTCTGCCCCTCTTAGCTGAGTGACTTTGGGAGAGTCACTTGACCTCTCTGAGCCTCAGTTTTCTCGTGTGCCGTGTGGTATAAGAGCTGCAGAGAGGATGGGGTAATAATTGAGAAAAACTTCACTGGGACAGTAGATCTGGAGATGGTGGGACACCCCGCACCTGCTGGGCCACCGGAAAATCTGCGTGCTGCATGCTGCCTGTGTGTAGGCAGCTGATGTTGTTTATAAAACAGGAAGTGAAGGTGAAGGGAGGGGACCTGGAATCTCAGGACCAAAATGCTCCCTGAGCGCAAGACCTGAGATTTCTTGCCCCATGCCAGTCACTCTATAGGCATCTGGTGAGCATCCAGTCACCAGGCGGGGTGCTCCTCCCAACTCCCACCCCTCCATCCACAGGACAGTCAAGAGCACAAGATCATCCTGTATGAGAACCCCAACTTTACTGGTAAGAAGATGGAGATCGTCGATGACGATGTGCCCAGCTTCCACGCCCATGGGTACCAGGAGAAGGTGTCTTCTGTGCGGGTGCAGAGCGGCACGTGAGTGTGACCCCAGACTCAGCCTCCGGGACCCCGAGTCCTCTTCTGCCCTGAGCTCACTGGGTTAGGGGAGAGTCATTGCTTTGCCTTCCACCCACCCTCAGATCCCGGGTGGGAATCACCAGCCTGTGGGCTGTAGGAGGTTCTGTCCTGGGCTGTGCTCCCATCCCAACCCCCAGCATCTACCTGGGCAGGTGGAGGCAGCACGTGCCATGAATGCAATGATCTTAGATCAGGGGGAAGAAGTTGGAGCTTCTGTCCCTGCAGACCCCTGAGCCTGTGAACAGACTCCAGGAGGAATTCCGCTTTGACACGTGACCTTGGCTGTGGAAATCTCACTGTGAGCCACAGCACAAGTGAGGTCCTAGGCAGATGCTCAGACAATGTGTGCTGGGGTGGCACATACAGTGGTGATTCTATACCCACAGGTCTGCTGCTGAGCTTTAATCAGCCATGGGTGGAACATTCTGGAAACACACACATGCACATCCATGTGAACCCACACACACGCACACACACGTGGACCCATACTAAACACAGATGGGTTTTTCTGTTGCTGCTCTGAACAACACAGCCTAACACTGTGAGGACAGTAGGGGAGGGATAAGAAGTCACCTCGAGGGAGTTGCGGTTAAGCATGAGGACTTGAGTTCAAATCCTCAACAACCATGTAAAAGGCCAAGTGTGGCCCACATCATACCTGTCACCCCAGAGCAGTGGAAGGTAGAGACAGGAGGATGGCTGAGGCTTGTTGGATGCCAGCTTAGCTCCAGGTTCAGTGAGAGACCCCTGTATCAAGGGAATAAGGAGGACAGTGACAGAGCAGGTCACCCCGTGTCCTTCTGTGGCTTCTGAGAGCATACAGGCATTCCCACCTCTCCCTCATCTGTACATGGGTGAATACTCATCCCCCCGCCCCCCACAACCACATACACAGGAGAGAGTCTGTCAGTGTTGGATCCGTATCTCAGGTCATGCTCACAGTCACCAAGGACCAATACACATGCCTGGGAGTGGAGTTATTTGTGGTAGAAATGGGCATTTTACTAAGAAAGAGTAAAGCACTCTAAAAATGGGAGTGGGCGGGGTGGGATGGGGGGGTCTGGTTGTTCCTGAGTCACCCCAAATCCCAGTGCATTCAGAGAGTGCCAGGCATCTCTCCTCGGGCTCTGCTCCATGCAGCCTCAGCTCTCAGGGAGTCACCAGCCTGCCACCAACCTTTCTTCCGTATGTTACCCTCAGGGTTTCTCTCCTAGCGTCCTGCCTTGTGCCTCCCTGCCCCGTTCCCCAACCTCCCCTCCCCTCCTCGCCCCGCCACTGCTGCTGAGTGCTGTGGTCCCAGAAGCCTTTGCGAGAGAAGCAGGGTGATGATCAGTCTGTCTGGATTCATGTCCCTAACAAGTGGCATTTTGCAGTCAGCCCTCTTGACTGTTCACACCACAGAAACTGGTGGACGCTTTAAGTCATGGTGTTGGTTCCCCAACAAAGCCACCTTGACCGTGTACCCTGGTTTCCTGGGGTTTGTCAAGCCCCACCAATATAAACCTCTGTGTACAGCCAGGCATCTATCCTTGGCTGATTTAAGTTGCTCACCGCTGCCAAGTGTCATGCACTGTGCCAGGCACTCCAGATTTGAAGGCAGATGGAGGCTTAGCACCTATCTTGTGTAGTTGTTCCTCCAGAGGTACAACTGTCAATCACTTAAGAGTCCACACAAATCTAAGGGGCTCCTTAGAGGCTCCTGGGCTGAGATCGGAAGGCAAGAGTAGGACTTGCAGGGCAGAGAGGGCCCGAAAGGCATCCAAAGAAAGCTGCGTGAGGCGGCCCTAGGGTGAGAGGGAGAGGGTGTTCTTGCTCTCCGTGGTTGATGCAGAGGGTGGAACACGGGGCTGCTGGGCAGGGAAGGAGGTGTCTAGAGTCCTCTGGGCAGGCCCCTCAGCTTGGGCTGGGGAAGATTTGTCATTTTCATCGAGTGCTCTAGAGTTAGTGACACGCTGCCTGGAGAAGGCGCTGAAGGTGGGTGGGTGATGGAGCTCCATCGTCTCTCCCTTTCCTCAGGCCTTGCTGTTAGGCACTGGGCCAAGATGGGAATGTCCCGAGGAGTTGCAGGGGCCCGTATGATTCTAAGCTTTTCTGGAATTTAGGGTTTGTGTTGGGAGGTAGTGAGCTCCCTATCAGGAGAAGGAAGCAAGCGCAGGTTCAGAGTCAGAGGGTGGGGCAGAGAGTGGCGTCCTGGCCTTTCCTCCTCCTCCCCCACCTGTGTCTGCTTTCAGCTCACACGCCCCACACCTCTGCCTGCAGGTGGGTTGGGTACCAGTACCCTGGCTACCGTGGGCTGCAGTACCTGCTGGAGAAGGGGGATTACAAGGACAACAGCGACTTCGGGGCCCCTCACCCCCAGGTCCAGTCTGTGCGCCGCATCCGTGACATGCAGTGGCACCAGCGAGGCACCTTCCACCCCTCCATCTAGAGCCCCGATCTCCCCCTCCCCAGGGGCCAGGCCCACCACCCCGGGGCCTCCTGACACCAGAGTGAATAAAGTGTGGCTTGCAACATGTCTGCTGTGGGTCTTTTCATCGATGGTGTACCTGGGGCACATGTGTGTGTGAGGAGGGGAGGGAGAGGGGCAGTCAGCAGGCATCTGGGCTGAGGTTTGTGATAAGCCTCCATTGAACCTTACATCTCTGCCATTCATTCCACAGCTGTGTGACCTAGAACACACTGGCAACCTCTCTGAGCCTCTGTCTGTCTGGTTTACCACTCCACTGCCATGTCCAGTGTGGCTGACCTTCTGGCCTTGTATGGCCTTCTCAGGGTGGGTGACGGGTGCCTGGCCCACTTCCTGTCACCCCCACTGCTCTGCCCATCACTACAGAGCAGGACATTGGCTTTTCTCTCTGCCATGGATCCAAGGCCCTGCCGTGTCCACCACATCTTGGGAGGAGCTCAGCCACATGTCTGTGTCCTCAGTTCACTGCTCCTCCCTCTGTCCTTGAGTTGGTTTGGTCTCTTGTGTGGCCGTCCTAGAGCCCAGCTAGGAGGTCACATCACAGGAGGAGGGAGGCTGTGACGGCCCCAGTCACAGTCTCTACCCCAGGTGACCTCTAAGAATCGCACTGTTCCCTTGAGGGATGAGCAGGGATGGAGAAATCAGAGGGCAGTGTCTCCTTCTTCTTAAGGTGGACGTGTGAGGGCAGTGTCTCCTTCTTCTCAAGGTGGACGTGTGGGGGCAGTGTCTCCTCCTTCTCAAGGTGCTTGCTGGGTCTCTCTTCACCTCTTCTGGTAGCTCTGAACTCTGAATATCATTTTAAAATATGGTGTACTCAAATCTCAAGATCCTCCATGGTTTTCACAGCCCTTAAAAAGTCAAGGTCATGCAGGTCACAGTTTCATCCACAGCAGGTTCCAGACTCTATTCTCCCTGCTGTCTCTCTACTTGCCTTTACACAGGATTCTAACTTCTAGATTCATGGTACAGAGATGTCCAGTGACCACTCTGTGCTGGTGAAAACCTGGACTGCAATCTAAAGAGGCTCGAGTTGCATCTCTACAATGGCCACAGCCGGTCTCCAGTGCCCATGAGTGTTTGAGAGCTTGGCTCTCAGTGGCGTTCATGTTCTTACTGTTGCTGGAGGTGGTTTCTGTGCCTGGAATGCAGTAAGACCCAGCTTCTCCTTCTCTCGGGGCAGCCACTGAAGAGTGCAGGACACTGAAGAGCCCTACAGGGGTCTGTTCGAAGCTGTCTGCTCTGTCCCTGTCATCCCCTGTGTATTCTGACCTCGTTGGTATCAGAGCATTGCTTTGCAGGTGGGGTGAGAGCCTCCAAGGTTAGTCTGGAGGATGCTTGGACACTCTTGTTCATTTAAAGACTCTTTTGAAGCACCCCCTCCAACATGGAAAAGTGAGAAACAGCGGAGGCGTATCAGTCTATGATCTGTCGCTGTAACAAAATGCCAGAGACTAGCTACTCATGAAGAGAGAGACATTGGTTCCACAGGCTGGAAGTTCAAGACCAGGCAGCCACCTCTAGGCACAGGGTCCCTTTGGAAGGGTGACAGGGTTGAGCAATGGAAGGGAGCCAATTGTGTGCAGAAGGGGCCAAGCTCACTCTGTGAAGGATGTCCCTCACCCTACCAGATATGATTCATGGCTTCCAATGATGGAGCCCCAATGGCTTTAGCACCCTGCTCTAAACCCTGCCTCTTTTTGTAAGATTAAAAATGTTTTTAGCCTTCTTTATTTCACTTTATGTGTACAAGTGTTTGTCTACATGCACATGTGTGCATCTCATGTGTACTTGGTATCTGAGGAGGTTAGAGTAGGGCACTGGATCCCCCACACTGGAATTACAGATGGTTGGAACCACAACATGGATGTTGGAAATCAAACCCAGGTCCTCTGCAAAAACAGCCAGTGTTTTTAGCCACTGAGCCTCTCAAGTTTCTCAGCCCTGATTCTCCTTAAAGGTCCAAGCATCCCACACCGGAGGTTCACGTGCAACACCTGAGCCGTGGGAGAGCCACTCAACCCACAGCAGGAGCAAATCAGTACGTTCTAGTAACGCTCACTTCCTTGCTCATCTTCAACCACTGCTGTGAAGGTGCTGCTTTTTTCCTGGGCCTAAACAAGATGGGAATTGAGCCACAGTAATTATTATGGATGAAGCTGCATTATTCATGAGTTGCAAACCCGGCCACAAGAACTCATAATGGGGGACATTCTTTGGAAGTCGGTTGCTGCAAATGTAACACAACAGTGCCTGAGTAGGGAGTCCCTAATCCAACATGAGGGTGTCCTTATGCAAAGGGGAGACACAGACATGAACACACAAAGTCGTGGCAGGTTGTGATTGTTGGTCTTCATGATCAACCTGATGGGACTGGAATCACCCACAGGACAAACTCTGAATGAGTCTGTGAGGGAATGTCCAGGAAGGAACAATTGAAAATGATGATGGGCACTCTCAAAGGGGAGGCAACTCCTCCTAATAAAGATCCACTGCTGGAAGCGGGGCCAGGGGGCTGCTTTTGCCCCATCTGAGCGAGTGTCTGTTGCTATTGCCATTGTCCTGCATGGACACCAGACTCTGGCGGCTTCAGCCGTCCTATGAAGGCTCACCACAGGCCCTCCTGGACTGCAGAGCTGTCCCAGGGACTCTCTAGCATCCCTGTGGGCCGAGCGGCTTCTGGGTTCTCTATTTGTCCAGTGTGTGAGGGGTCGTTGTTGGACTACCTAGCCTGGCTGTGTAAGCCAACAGGGATAAATCTCTTTTATTGTTATTGTGTTTTTTACTACTTCATTACAGTATTGGTTCTTTTCCTCTGGGGAACCCTGACTAACACCACACTAAGAAGGGTGCATTGCTTTTATTACCCAAGGAAGTTCTAAAACTGCTAGGACAGGCTCCCTGCAGCCTGCAGGAGGAGCGGACTGCCCCTGGCACTTCAGTCTCAGATGCTCAGCCTCCAAAGCAACAGCCATCTCGTTTTCTGTCCCGGCACACTTGCAGGGCAGTAGCAAGAGAAAGGAGACGTCGCTGGACCAGGCGAGGGCATCCCAAGAGGTGAAGTGTTTAGAGACATGGAATTTTCCTGATGAAACTGAGGTGAGAAACAGTCTCAGCAAAGGGAACAGATGGGCAAAGTGGGGTAAGCAAGAGGCATAGCGAGTCATCCACCCACCCACCTCCACCCCCTGCCAGGCACGTGGGAATCTTGAGAGGCAGGTCCTGAGAGATTAGAGATGTTTTTGTTGATAGCAGGAGGGGTGGGTAGCTCCGGGGGAGAGCACAGCTACTCACTGAATGGTCAGCTTCTCACAAGGTGAGTGGTAAAACTTGAGCAGTCATTCTTTTGTTTGAAGATCTGCCAATCTGGGAGCACCCCGGGGGTCAGCTAATCTCAGATGGGTTGTCAAGGGTGACTCTCAGCAGGGAAGGGCTCACAGGCTGAATGTGGCTGCCGGCTGGACCTCAGCTGCGGCTGTCCTCTTGGACTCCCTCAGGTGGGTGTTTCTTGGTGTGCTGGCCTCCCCACCCCAAGGTTTCCAGAAGTGGGTGCTCCAGGAGGAAGATGCAGCTGACTGACATCTTTGTGACTGGCTCCCCATTCTCTAGAGGTGTCAGGGTCATGTGTGGTTGCCCAGGTTTGGGAGGAAGGAACACAGTTCCCACCAGTCATTAGGACATCTGGTGATGGCCATCTTCAGAAAACACAATCTTCCATTGAGGCACTTGGGATATAGAGTGGTCTTCTGTGGGGCAGGACAGAAATCTGGTGTGTGAATTCAGCAGGACACAGGCTCTCTTGGGTCTAGGCCTGGACTTAAGACTGATGTGGAATTTCCCTCTGTACGCTGTGATTACCATTGATAAATAAAGGAACTGCTTTGGGCCTATAGCAGAGCTATAGGGGAATGGAGCTGGGGGGTGTGTGAACTAAACAGAATGCTGAGAGAAAGGAGGCGGAGTCAGAGAGAAGCCATGTAGCCCCACTGGAGCCTGCTGGAACTTTACCCAGTAAGCCATTGCCACGTGGTGATGCACAGATTAATGGAGATGGGTTAAATTAAGATGTAAGTGCTAGCCAATAAGAAGCTAGAGCTAATGGGCCAAGCAGTGATTTAATTAATACAGTTTCTGTGTGATTATTTCAGGGCTAAGCAGCTGACAACCAACCAGCAGCCTTCCTTCAACACAGGACTAGTAGCTGAGTCCCTGCTCCCCCCCCCCATTGTCTGTCGCAGTAGGGTGTTGTCTGCGCACTACTCTTGTCCTCCCATGTCCATCCCCCACTTGTCCTGGAAGCCTCTTCTGGTCCCCATGGAACCACCCGTCCCCTTTCTCAGTCCATCTGGGAGCCATTTCCCCGAGAAGCCACCAGGTGTCAGGAAAGCGCCATCTTCGGTGCGCCGTCAGTCACCGAGGTGGGCGGGGCCTCGCGCCTCCCTGGCTGCAGAACGCTGCAAGGCTGAGTTTCTGGGATCCCACGCGGGAACGCTTGCGGTACACTCACCGACTCTAAAAACACAGGGTACCTACAGAGAAAAATCAGTGTTTCGTCTTACGTTTCCGTCCCCCTCGCCCAAATATTAGAACATAAACCACCGCAGAGACAAAATGTTTTATCCTTGGCTTCCACGCGACTGGCCAGATCGCTAGGGGTCGCTCGGCTTCTTCTGGGTGTCTGCGCGTGGGAGTCCACGAGCCTTTCTAGAAAAGAGCTGGGTGGGTGGTGTCTTCCGCAGGAAAGGCCCTGCACATGTGTAAACCACAGCGCCAACCAGCCTCCACGAAACTTCAGGAACCTGAAATTTTAATTCTATTCTCATTTATACAAAAAATGACTCCCTTTGACTCCTTCCCCTCTCCCAAACATTTAAAATATAAAAATGTTGTTCAAAAGAAGTTGATGTGTGGCCTTGGAACACACTCTTGTCAACCTAAACACCACGTTCCCACATGGCGAGGGTTTCATAAAGTTTTGTAGTCACAGAACAAAAGAAAACCACAAATCAAGACATTTTTAAAATATTGGTGGTGACCTCAGGGAAGTGGGT